ATTTTTACGTAAAATAAAAATAATATTAATAAATTCAACAACCTTTTTGCAGGACTACCTCGTAGAGTGGAAGAATGATCGACATAAAAGGGAGATTCGTGTGCAAATAGATCTTTATCGTAAATCTACAATCAGTTCGCTCAAATATCTTTAAAATAAACACATCCTTAATAATTTTTTTAAAAAATATATATTGAATATAATATTTTTGGATAAATTAAATAGTACCAAATTTTTTAAAATATTATGTAAAAGAAACTTAGAGGCTGTTTGGTTCATGGACTTTTTTGGCGAGATTGAAATTTTACAATAGGATTTATATATGATGAGATTCATTATATTTAGGATTTTGAATCATATCTTATGTTTGGTTAATAAAATATTGTGGGATTTATATTTCTCACATCTTGTTTCTTTTTCGTATGAGTTGAAGGATTTAGATTTTTTATATTCTAAATAACATAATTGTCCTCCTATGAATTTTATTTATTTTGATAAATTAAATCTCTAATTCATTATTAATATAAATTGAAAATATATCAATAATTAATTGTCCGACCTATTTATTTAAAATTGAGTCCAATTATTTGAGTATTAAAATTGATTTCGGGTCATATTCGGGGTAATATAATAATATATCAACTATACATATGAAAAAATAATTTCGAACAATATAACTATATTAAAAATATTTTTTGAGTTTAACGTATTCATTATTTTATTATAATATTTTTCTAATAAAATATATAGTTTTAATATTCGTTGAATCCAGTACATGTGTAATTTTAAATTAAAATTTAAAAATTATAAAAAAAAATAGATTTTTCGGATCCATCCGGTACTCTTACCGGGTATAGTGTCGGTCGGATCTGGTATAATCGGATCCAATTTGAGTCTCGGATCTAACAATATATATTTGAGATGAATATCAGTTCCGACTGAATCCAACTCATTGTCATCCTTATAATTTTATAATTCAAATAAAATTTATAATAAATAATAATTTTAAACAATGAATTTATTAATTTATTTTAAAAAATATTGTACCATAAAAAATAATATAAATTTAATTATATATATAATTCAAATAATAATTACTTTAAAATTATTTAATTTTTTTATATAAATATAATACTCCCTCTGTCCCGCAAGAAGGGTGACGTTTGTTTTTTGCACGTAGATTTTTGAATATTAGTATTATATTGGATTGTAGTAAAAAAGACAAAAATACACATATTAGTACAGTGTAATACAAAAGTAATGACATTTGTATAATATAGTGTAAGTTGAAAGGGTATTTATTGTGTGAAGTAGGTAGTACAATTACTAAATTAGGAAATGGTAACCTTGTTTTGAGACGGATGAAAAAGGAAAGTGGTAACCTTTCAATGGGACGGAGGAAGTACTATTATTTCTTTTATAAGATGATATAAAAGTAAAAATTAAATTTTCAAGAATGAAATTTAAAAGTAACAGGTACCCCATTAGAAAAAAATCTTTTATTTGTAGGATTTTGGACCTCTTTTTCAAATCCCATCATTTTAAATTTCACCATCATTTCTTTAACCAAACATGAATTTCATGGGATTTTAAAATTCAAATCCCATTAAATCCCATTAAATCTTCGAACCAAACAACCCCGTAGGGTGTGTTTATTTGGAAAGGTTTGAGAAAATTGAGTTTGAGTTTTAATTAAATTTAGATTTTAAGATGAGTTTGGATTTTTGCATTTCTTTGGTGTGTAGGTTTGGTTTGAGTTTTGTGGGTTTTAATATTTATTGATTTGATATGTAATAAATACAACGATATAAATTTATATTAGATTAAATTTTTAAAATTAATAATGGTATAATTTGAGTATTAAATTCATATAAATAATAAATATATGTTTATATATTTTTATTTTTTATTATATGAAATTTTATTTTTATAAAATGAAATTTGTATTGTATATATTTTATTAAACTATAGTTATTAAAATAACCAAACAATTTATTAGTTGTTGTTTTGCACAACCGTGCAAAAATCTTTTATGTTTTAAAATTAAAAAATTAAAAAATAAAGACTACCAAAGGCAAAACTTGTCTAAAATAAGATGTTGATATGTCATGAATTTAGTTTGACACTTCCCTGAGTTTTTACGGAGGTCTCGCTGGTATTGGATTGAGATTGTCTGATGTATTCTCTTAATTTAGCTAAATAGACTTAGATATGAAATCTGTAATCTGTAACGCAACCATCCTCAATAAATCTGTTCTTTGTTTCTTTCCGTGGACGTAGCCAATAAATTATTGGTGAACTATGTAAATTTGTATCTTCTTTACGTTTTGTATTTGTTATTCGATCATTAACTCTAATTCGTCACAACAAACTGGTACCAGAGCCTGCTCATTTCGGTCAAAGTTTTGTTTATTTCCGCACTGCTAGGGTTTCGCGAGTCGATCAACAATGTCTGCTTTCAACATAAAGATTAACAAATTTACTAGGAGAAATAGTTTTAGCTTATTGCAAATCAAGATGCGATCTTTGCTTAAGCAACAGGGTTTGTGGGCGCCGCTATCTGGAAAACTGAAAGGTAAAAAATTAGATGAAGAGTGGGATACCACAGAGTAGAAGGCCCATTCGACAATCATGTTGTATTGGTCCGATGATGTAATCATCGAAAATTCCGATCAGGAAATTTTTGTTGGCCTCTAGAAAAAGTTTGAGAGTTTGTGCATGACAAAATCTCTAACCAATAAGTTGTTTTTGAAGCAATGTCTGTTCAGCCTATGAATGCAGGAAGGGAAAGATAATTTGTCTCTGGAATATGTTCGATTTGCCCACCACAATAGAGAAGATCGTCTACAGGCATCTGGTTCGGCCACAAAAAATCAGGCATCAGGGTTGTCTATTACGGGTAAGAGGCATAATAAATCTGGAAAGAAGAAGCCTAACTGTAAAATTTCAAAAGGTCCTAAACCCGAAGACATCTATAATTACTGTAAAGAACCGGGGCACTGGAAGAATGAATGTCCTAAGAAGAAGATGCAACATGAAAAGAAAGCAGGTATCGGTGGTTCTACAGCCGTGGCAGAAATTGATACGAATTCTAAAGAAGATCTAGCTTTGGTTGCTGATGAACAGTCACAACGTAATAATGTGTGGGTTCTAGATTCCAAGGCATCATACCACATTTATCCTAACAGAGACTTTTTTCTCAACCTATGAGCAGATAGATTGAGGCAATGTTTGCATGACCAACAGTGTTGTCTGCAAGGTGATTGAAATTGACTCAATCAAGATACAGACACATGATAGGGTATTCTGCACCTTGAATGAAGTCAGAGATGGGGTGGAGTTATGTATGTTTGTCAAGGTTAAAAGGTGGTTTTGAAGGGTTTGAAACGTGGTAGTTTGTATTTTCTGCGAAGTTCTACCGTGATAGGTTCTGCTTGTGTTGCATCATCTGAGGTTCAGACTAAGGATATGACCAGGCTATAACATATGAGGCTTGGCTATGGGAAAAAGAGGGATGCCGATTCGGTCAAAGCAGAATTTTCTTTTTGGGTATAAAGTGCAGAATCTTGAATTTTGCGAACAATGTATTTTTCAGAAGCTTCATCGTAGCAAGTTTTCAAAACAAGGCGTTCATCAGACCAAGGGGACTCTTGACTAAATTCATATGGATTATTGTGATAGCTTAAGTGCAATTTGTTTAGCCAAGGATCAGGTCCATCACGAGAGGACCAAACATATTGATGTGATGTATCATTTTCTGAGAAATGAGAAGAGAGTAAAGGTGATGAAAGTAGGGACTGTTGATAATCCTGCTGATATGTTCACCAATCTGGTCCCTCATAGCAAGTTCCGATATTTTTTGAACTTGCTAAATGTCATAAGCTGGTAGTTGCTCGAGAGGGGCAAATATGAGGCAGAATGAAAGAGTCTATTTATGTGGCGTTGTAATGATGAATCCGTAAGTGAGATTCAAGTCAAGGTGGAAATTTGTTGATATGTCTTAAATCTAGTTTGTCACTTCACTAAGTTTTCACGGGGGTCTCGCTTGTATTGGGCGGAGCCTGTATGATGTATTATCTTGATTTATTTAAACAGACTTAGAGATATAAAATCTGTAATTTATAACGCAGTCGTCCTCAATAAATTTGTTCTCCGTTTATGTTCGTGGACGTAGCCTACACATTGTTGGTGAACCGCATAAATGTGCCTCTTCTTTATATTTTTTTGTTTATTATTCGATATTAATCTTAATCTGTCGTAACATAAGACTATTGAGTATGTTTGCTGAAGGAGTTTGACACATAAATTACTATGCACAATGACTTCACAATAATTTTGGCCAAAACAAGCTGAAAGAAACGCACCCATAATATTATCAAAATATTTTATATTTTTACTCGGAACGTACGTGAAGAGTAATGACTATGATTTCAATATTATCGAAATAACTAAATAAATAAAAAATATAATATATGTGTACGGGAGACGGTGGGCAGCACCTTGTGACAGGTCCCTTTATTAAATGCCACTCCTTTGTGAGGACGGGGCCCGTCATTAATATCACTATCATTTTCCCAATTATTATTAGTTTATTTCTTTTACAATAAACACACATTCATTTCACATTAAAGAAAACTGAAAATAATACTTGTAGTATTCAAATAAAAACAATCCAATTATTTACATAATAATTTAATTTCATACGTCCTGAATTTTCAAACCTCAGTTAATAGTTTCTTGTTTTTCCCGATAATTGATGTAATAAAGAATCCACTTTGACGACCGGTGGTGATTTAAATTGCTAATTATCCCCTACTTTGACTTTAATTAACCGTCACTTCTCCCTAAATGCAACTTTATGGTTTGGAGGCGTTAAATGCGACTCTTAAAGTGCTTTTCAAGACGAAAAACCCATTTTTATTTTATTTTATTTTATTTTCAATTATTTTTGTTTGTGCGATAAATAATTGGGTTGGGATAAAGCTGAGAATCGGGAAGCAATGACGATCGAAGTTTTCCCTGACAGCCCCAGCCGGATCTCCTTCTCCTACGACCTCTCCCAATCCGACGACGTCGTTCCGGTAGAGGAGCACATCAGAACGACGTCGTCCTCCGCCATTGATTTCGACTTCTGCGTTTTCCGTGAGAGCTTCGATCGCGAATCCTCCACCGCCGATGAGCTCTTCTTCAACGGTCAGATCCTCCCCATCGAGATCAAAAGAAGGCTCTCGCCGCCGCCGCAACCTCAGCCTTCCCCGGCGCCACGGCCTCCTCCTCCGCCGCCTCCTCCACGGCAGCCGACGCCGCCGAAGAATGCGAATGCCGCCGCCGCCGCCGCCGCCGATTCACCGGAAGAGAAGCAGCGATCATTCTGGCGGTTCAAGCGGAGCTCGAGTCTCAACTGCGGCAGCGGCTACGGCCGGACGCTCTGCCCGCTGCCATTGCTGTCGAGGAGCAACTCCACGGGGTCTTCCGCCGCCGCCGCCCGATCAGCGAATAATCCAAAGTTTGGGTTTCTCAAGCCGTCGTCGCAAAAGAAGAGTCCATTCAGCCGGTCGCCGTTGAAGCGGACCGGCCATCGATTTCCGGCGAGTAGCGCCGGCGTGAAATTCAGCCCTGTATTGCACGTGCCGTCGGCGAATCTCTTCGGCCTGGGATCGATCTTCTCCACTGGCACAAGTACCAGCAAGAAGAAGCAATGAAGTGAATGCTAGCTGGGATCAGTATGCTTGGATTTTTAATTTTATTTATTTTCATCATCTCCTGATTTCAAGTAGATTTTGTAAATAACGAGTGCTTAATTTTCAAGAAAAAAGAAATGGTGAATTTACATACCAAAGAATTAATTTTCATATATTAAAAAAAGAAAATCAGACAGCCCATCTGCATAAAGACATCCATGCCAGCAAAGGAAAAAAAGGGATCAGTTTTGCTTTAGGGATTGTCTTCTTCTGCTTTTATTCTGTTATTCGGACATACTGTGTGTGTATATAATAGAGTCAGATTAATTTCCGTTCTTTTTTAATTATTGTGTTCCTGCTATTTTACCCTTTGTTTTTTCTCTCAGAAAATAGCATCAGTAAAAATATTTTACTGCCTAAGTATATAATAGCGTGAGAAAATTTAAAAAGTTTGTTGAGCATTATTGGATGGTTTAAGGAAATCGGGGTTAGCAGTTGCAGGCTGACGTGTCAGACCTAATATATTTATAGTATCTTCATTACATCAAGAGCCGTAGAAATAACACCCCTCGTGGCTTCTAGAACCTTTTACCCGGTGATGAGTAGTGGCTAAATATGATTCCAATCTTTTCCTTTTTTAACCAGATATGTCATAGTGTTTTGGAGAGAAAAATAATCTCTATCGGCATTGTTAACTCATAATCCAGTCCAGTAAAAAAGCAAAGAAACAATTAATCTGTACTCTTTATTTTAATTAGGGTAAACTGTTTTTTAGTCCCGTAACTGGACCGCTTATCATTTTAGTTCTGCAAGTGGAGTCTGTCGCAAACTAATCCCATAAGTGAAAAATTTTCGCTGTTTTAATCCTCCGGTGCCGGAGACGCCGCGTGGCTCGCCGGAGGTGACGTGTCCGCCAAGTGTCCCGCCAGGTCAGCAACACCTGGCGGACACGTCATCTCCAGCGAACCACGCGGGCGTCTCCGGCGCCGGAATACTAAAACAACGAAAATTTTTCACTTATGGGACTAGTTTGCGACATGCTCCACTTACGGGACTAAAATGATAAGTGGGTCCAGTTACGGAATTAGAAAAAACAGTTTACCCTTTTAATTATTTGGTTCATAATTGATCCTCATTTTACATTTTACTATCGATCATCATAGTTTACTTATTATGTACTTTTAAAATATTTTTCAATACTTTTCATATTGTTCTGTATATTTATATAACATCTCACTCTATTTAAATTGTTCACTTGAAATACTTAAATTTACTTTATGCATATTTTAGTTTTTATTTTTAAAAATCGAAACTAAAAAATAGAAAAGAACAGTTAAATGCACATTCTATCGTGTGTGTGCGTATGTGAAGAAGGAAACCACCATCCACGGTTGAAGTGCTTGCATCTTCCCCTGCAGTCTCTGCAATAGATCTACACTCCGTCAACCGACCTTACCTATAATGGCAAGAAAGAATCGACAACCTATTTTGTAACCATTACCAAGGTGAAGTGGAAAGAAATAAGTATATTCCGGATTTGTTTTAATTTTTTTTATGTCTGTTCGAAGTTGTGTGTTCGTTCCAATTTTTGGTAATGTATACCTATGTTTTCATGTGAGTCGTATGTATACAAAAATGACAAAATAACAAAAAAATCCCCCATTTGTTAAACATTTAACTACTGTTGTATTTACTAAAATACCCTAATGACTATTTTTTACCGCAGCTTCTTCTTCCTCATTTTCTTCTTCCGTATACTTTTAAAATTTAATCTTAATTTTTTTTTTATTATTTTAAATTCGCTAAACACAACTAAATTTGAAATCGATTTCAAATTTATAACACAATTAATCGATCGGACATAGAGATGGAGACGGAGACGAGAATGCGCAAGTTATTGCTCACTCTCAATTTCTTCTTCTGTTTTACCAAACACAGGAAGAATTGGGGAAGAAAGAAGAATTGGGGAGAAAAAATAAAGAAGAAAGAAAATTCGGGAAAAAGAAAAAAAGAAAAAGAGAAAAAAACCTGGTTTCCGGCCCCTTCTTCTTCTTTCTTCTTTTTCTCTTCTTCCTTTTTCCTGCTCCAACCGCTTCTGCCAGTCATTTCTCTTTCTTCTTATTTTTTTCATTTCTTCTTTAATTGAAGATGAAGAAGGTGGAGTAAAAGAAGAAAAGAAAGAACCGGTGGGGCTACAGTGAAAATTGAGGAAAAAAAAACAAAAGAAAGAGCTGCGTGTGTGAAGAATAATTTTTGGGAAGAAGATGGAAGAAAGAAGTTAGGAAAAAAAAGGAGAAAAAAAATAAGAGAAGAGAGAGAAATAAATTAAAAAATATATAAATAAGGGTATAACTGTCAAATCTGATAAAATTTAACACCCGTTAGTCAAATTTAGAGAGGGGGAGAGTGTGCAATATTTTGAAAACCACAAATAGGTTTTTGAAAATTAGAACCACAAGCGGTTTTTCGCGAATTCGTAAAACCATATGGGTGTTTTTTGCTATTTTGCCTACAAAAAATGATTGCAAAAGTTATGTGTGATTTGTCAAGAGATGGGAGATGATGTGGCTATCATGACGCAATCAGATGCAATTATAATTCCTATTAGACCTATCATTAGGAGTCGAGCTCGTAAATTTTAGTTGACAATTACAAAATATGCCAAATTTCAAATGGATACCACTGTTGGACTCTACACCGAGGATGAAAACAAGTAAATACATTTTTCTAGAATTAGACCACAAGTCCCAAGGATCATAAAACAAGAGCATTTTTCAAGACATTGGATTTCCCATAAATCACTATCCCTAATTGAAGGGATTTCATGAATCAATATTCCATAATTGAAGGAATTTCATAAATCATGATATTACCAAGAATAGTGAGATTGTCATTAATCATTGGTAAATAATACTAATAAGGTTGATTAAAATCTATAGGATTTATTTCCTTTTAAGATACACTTTATTGTTTTTATTCCACGTGGGTCATCAATAAAAGATCTCATGATTATCATTGTAAGATTTCATTCAATAAAAATATTTTCTAAATTTATTTAATTTCAAGAGTGATTCTTATGCATGATTTGAAGTGTAATATTGAGTTATTTAGTTACATCTTCATATCCCAAAATCGAGTTGCTACAAGTGATTTGAAACAAGTCATGGTCTCTCGAATAGTACAAGAACTATTTTGGCGTACCTTGTATCGTCGGTTTGTTTAGAAGATTGTGAGACATGAGCTTGATATCTCGTGTTGCCTTCCCGACTACCTCTCAATTCAAGAAAGTCCAGGTTACCTTAATTAATATATATATCTATCCGTTCATTCCTTTTGCTACCAAACTCTACCCATTTTTATTGTTACTTGTTCTTGTGGAATCGCATCAATAGGTGATCCATTCTATTGCGGCCCAATTTGATCAATCCAACGAGGGTTTAGATTGGAACATCAACTTTAAGGGAATTGATTGTGTTTAATAAGTAGGCTTTAGAGGATTTGATTGAGAAAAAATTATGGAATAAAAATGTAGAATATATTGAGAATGTATTGTTTTTATTTGATGCTCTTTTCTTGTTTAGAATTTTGAGGTGCGAGATTACTTTAAAAAGTTGACAAATGAAAAAAAAAATAATGAAACAAAAGGGAAGAGTGAATTCTAATGGTGAAGATGAAATGAGTTTGTAAAAGTAATAGGCATGAATGTTTGTGCTAGGAAATTCTAGGTGAGCGAGGGTACGAGATTTCTGAAGGCTATAGTTCACGCAATAACTCTGCAAGCTTGATTCATTCATCTCTAAAGAAGTAGATCTTCAATGGCCAAACTAGGTTAAAAAGTTGAGTGTGTTTTATTTATTCACTTACTGTATGCATGTGTTGTTTGATATTCAACTAGGTAACTTTGGGTGCATTGATTGACTGTGTTCATTCTTTGTTGATCGTTCAAAGGATTTCGAACCAACAACCAATATTTAGGCATCATCTAAAGAAGTGGTTGTCAACATTTATTTCATTGATCTCTAAGAGATTATAGTTTTTCCATATATTAATATGTTACTAGTTTAAAACTTGGCTTTATATGGATCTGATAAATATCCTGCAATAGCATAACCAATTAGTTTGTATTGAAAATCTTTTATGAATAATAACCTGAGACCAACTATTATTTGAAGAAAGCAAACAATTTGTTTAATTATATTCCACAGACATTGAGTAGATGATGAGGTCAATATTGCTAATAAATTTATATCAAATGATTATCAGACCAGGTTTTATTAGCAAGAAACAACAATGCATCTATAGCACTAAGGTCTGACACTTCTGGACCAAATACTTCTTTATTTTCCCCTTTTGGTCCATTTGGATAATTTATTAGATCAAGTACTTTGACGATTATTGAAGTACTTATTGGATGTGATTTACCAATCATAAATTATGTTAATACCCATTTGGAATAATCCAATTCATACATAAGCTTTCTAAGTGCTCAATTTGCAAACAAATGAAATTTTTTATTTTTCTAAAATCTTTGATATCAAGTTGCCGTTTTAAATATTCAAAAGTTTTATGGGGTTCTCAGGGAGTTTTGATTAAGTTAAGCTCATCAATATTCCCCCTTGTTGTAATACCCCGGAGTTAGGCCGGTGCTAGACCATCCAAGAGTGAAGAAAGATTGAGTAGATTGAATAGACTATTCATGTCAACAATGTATATATTTCTTTTCAAGAGTCTTACTGAAAGAACTCTAGAGTTAAGCGTGTTTATCCTAAAATAATTTAATGATTGGTGAGCCCCTAGGAACTCTCCCAGGGTGCGTGTGAGTGAGGATAGAAATATATGTTGGAAGGACTCGCGTTGACATGTAAGACCATTCTACGATCTAGACACACACGGCTCTGCGAGGCTTGGAGGCCGGGGTGTCACAAGTGGTATCAGAGTTGACCTGCGACAGCTCACAGTTGTTGACCTAAATATTGAAGGGCCTAGCATTTGATGGATCATTGGGATGCAATTTGGACGTTACATTCGAAAGTGGAAGATGATGCAATACCCCCGGAGTTAGGCCGATGTTAGGCCAACTCCCGTGTATGGATGAGCTGGTGCTAGACCATCCAAGAGTGAATAGAGATTAAGTAGATTGAATAGACTACTCATATCAACAATGTGCACATTTCTTTTCGGAAGCCTTACTAAAAGAACTATAGAGTTTAGCGTGTTACCCTCGAGTAATTTAAGGATAGAAGCGCACTGGAAGGATTCATGTTTACCTGTGGGTCAATCTATGATCCCGACATGCCCAATTTTGTGTGGCTTGTGGGTCGGTGTGTCACATCTGTACTTTAGAAACTGTGTAGTACACCCCCTGTATTTTCAGAAACCTCGCACACTCCCCTTTTGATCATTTTGACCTTACGGTGTTTGATGCGGATGTACAATCTTCGAGGATTCAAATGCCCAAGGGACCCATCACTCATCAAACTCGTCAGTTTCAAGAATTCATCACTGTGTTGACCTGACAATTTTTCGTAGAGAATCAATTTAAAGATGATGTTTCGAAACCACTTAGCTCTCACCTGACACTACTTCAATTGAACCAACAAGAATCAGAATTGAAATATCAAGAGAATTGCTAATTTTGGAAGATTATAAAGAGAATTACAAAATATGGAGGACTATCAAGAGAATCATCACTTATGGAAGCTTCTAAAAGTTACCTTAATAGAGATTTTCTTTTATTATAAATTTTCATATAGTATAATTCTATATCTAGAACTTTTATTATTATTAGTTTCCTTGTAGTTAGACTTACCTTTTGGTTTGTTTCCTTATTATTTGTTGTCTTTTATTTTCCTCAAGGACCTCTATATAAGGTTCTTGCCTATAATTGTAATGGAAATGTTTTTACATCTTGAATCAAATTTTACATTTATAATTTTCTAGTGTTAGAGAGTGATTTCCTCGCATTTAGAATTTCAAATCGGGTCTTTGGAGTGATTCTATCGGTTCGTAGCTTCCAATCTTTTGCAGTGGGATTGAGCCTATTGTTTGTGTTTTAGTCTATGATTTGATTTTAGGTCCGAAAGTTATTCTCGTGGTTGATTATCATCTATACTAATTTATATTTTATGCACTATCTTTTCTTCTTCATTCTTTTTTCTTTTATCCATATTTTTAATCCATTGGTTCTATTGAATTTTGTGGGTGAAAAATACATTAGGTATAATTATACACGGCCGGGCTGTATCATCTGATAGCAGAGCCTTACACTTAAGTTTTCTATCAATTTGAATCATAACTAGTCAAATTTTGTTCAAAAAAATAAAATATGTGCTAATCAAGAGACAGAAAAAAAAAAAACCATAAAGTTAAAGAAGAAAAAAAGGAAAAAAAAAATGAAAAGCTAAAAGCCATAAAAAAAAGGCAAAAAAAAATGAACAAAAAACTTATTATTAAATCTCAAGATATTTGTTATTTACTTATACTCTCAAATCATCTTTCCTTTTAAACCCAAAAAGAAAAAAAAAAAAAAAAATCTATTCAGATTATTTGTCTTCTACTTCTATTTTCAACTTATATTCCCTTACTTTCACAACTGTTTTGGATTTTTCGGCTATCGTCTTTGGGAGAATCTCATTGATTTTAATTGAGTACTTTTTGTGAGGGGAGAGGTACCATAAGGCGTGTAGTGATACACAAGAGTTCTTGTGAGGTTATTTTTGTTTTTCTTTCTTCTCGTTCTAATGGTAGGGGTTGAAGGATCGAATTCTCAACAAGTTGATGTACAAGGCCTTCTCAATAGCATTCTACAAGAGTTTAAGACTCTTCTCCATTCTCGATTGAAATTAATGAATAATAGGAAGGACCAACTCGAAGAGAATCAATAAAAGTTACAAGAGAGCATCTGACCGTTACCTGAAGCACATAGGCGAAATGACGTTCAATCGCTTTTGAGGCCAAGACGCAACATCAGACCCCTACCCCCACATAACTTTGGTGAACCCGTTGATGAGGAGTTTGAAGGAAATTGGAAACGACCTAGGAATTATAATAACCATAAACCGACGGGATGGAGATGAGGCTATCCACTCAATCAAATTTCAAGTGCCACCGTTCCAAAAAAAAATCCGACCTTTAGCAATTTTGCAATAAGAATGAAGGTTAGAAGTAATCTTTGATGTTCAACAATTAATTGATGAAGAAAAACACTCTGTGTGGCCATAATAGAGTTTTCAGATTATGCCATTGCATGGTAGGACCAACTGAGCATCAACAGTTGATTCGATGCGCCCTAAGCTGCTAACAAACACCCAAAAGAACACCACCCATAGCCAAGATATGTTATGTTTTAAATGCCAATGATGAGGACATTTTGCGAATCAATGTCCAAATAAGCGTACTATGGTTCTTACGACCTTCAGTGAGTACAAATCCGAATTAGAAATTGAAGAGGTCATGAGGCAAATTTCTACGACGAAGAAGCTAGAGAAGCTATACTAGAGTCCAATTAAACATTAGTCACTCTCTGAGCTCCTAGCACCCTTCCAAAGGAGGTTGAAGATACCGAACAACGCAAAAATTTATTCCATGGAAGGTGTAAGATCGCGACTAAAGTATGTAGTCTTATCATTGACGGTGGTAGTTGTACTAATGTCATTAGTGACCTCACAGTGAAAAGAATTAATTTGAGGATGACTTGCACCCGAGGCCTTACAAACTACAATGATTCAATAATTGTGGGTAAATCAACGTCATCAAACAAGTGTTGGTGGGAATTGAGCTACAAGGTTACAACAATGAAATAAAATGCGATATAGTTCCAATGCTAGCATGCCATAGCAATTGGTGTTTCCATAAGCATTGTTTGTCCCCCAGCAAATTCCGCCATTTGCTCATCCTTCTAGCGGGACAACTCCTGTAGCCGGTCCTCCCACCTGCTAACAAACTCATAGTCATCAGTCCTCACTTTCTTCTATGAAATCTGGCCATGGGTCGGCCTTCATCCGAACTTCAAATCCTTGAGCAGTGAGATTGCATTCTTTCCACTCTTCATAACCCTAGGTCATCATAGACAATGGGTACATCTTTTAAGAGTAGTATATTGCCTTCAAATTGTGGACCTCCATCAGCAAACCAACTTCCACTTCAACTTCTTCCACTTTGTCGTCATTCCAGAACATCATCGCCATTCCAGAACATCACTTTCTAATAAAGAGTGGAGGGTACACACTGGGAAGTGTGTATTCAGTCGCATCCCAGGACGGCGGAATAGGTGGGTATCTGAAAAATGCCATCTTGTCCTTCCTACTCCCAACGGTAACGTCCACCACCACAACTCCAACTGCTTAATGAGCATTGCCTTTGAAGTCTGGTGTCCTTATTTCCATTAGGATAAGCTCTTTCCTAGTCTTTCCAACCTTCCTTAATTTTTCTAACATTATCCACTATTTCAAGATGCGTTTGTCGTAATCCAGAAGATCATCATCAGGGTCATCATCGTTATCAATGTGATTAGTCTCGACCTCTTTCCCCTTTTTTCTGCAGTGTGACTTGATAAAGATCGGCTAGGTGTTTGGTTGTTCTGCAGGTATTGGCCCAATGGCCTTCAATGCCACACCGATTACAAATGTTGATTTGTCTCTTTCCTTGTTTAGCCTTTTCGGCTATATCCCCATATTGGGGTTTACTCTGTTTCCTGTTAATGTTAAAACTGCGGTGATTGTAAGGGGTATATCGACCGCATTGACTCTCACGACCGCGACCATATCCACGGCCTCTACCATGTCCTCAGCCTCGTTTAGAAAATATCACGTTCGCTTAATGGAACGGATTGGAACCAGTGGGCCGGGACTAATGATTTTTCATCATTAACTCATTATTTTGTTAAGCTAATAAAAGACATTCAATGAGCTGTGAGTACTTTTGAAAGTTTTTCTCACGATACTGCTGTTCCAGCACAACATTAGAAGCATAGATGGTAGAGAGAGTCTTCTCCAATTTATCATTCTCAGTAACAATTTCTCCGCAGAGTTTCAACTGAGATGTAATCTAATGGATAACAAAGTTGCACTCTGTAACAGTTTTAAAATCCTGCAACCGCAGGTTAAGCCAATCATGTCGAGCTTTCGGGAGAATGATATATTTTAAGTGCCCAAATCTCTCCCTTAATTCATTCCAAAAATCTAGTGGATCTTTCACAGTCAAATATTCGGACTGTAAAGGAATGTCTAGATGGCAACGAATGAAAATAATAGCCTTAGCCCGATCTTAGCTTGTAGCCGTATTTTCACTGGCAATTGTATGAACAAGGCCCATAGAAACCAGATGCATTTCTTCATCCAGGGACCAAGTTAGAAAATTATTGCCGGTGAGAGACAAAGGTTTAAAAGAAAATTTTTCAAGATTTTCCATAGTTTAGAAAATAGATAGTATTAAAATAAAACTTACCAAAAATAAAACTGGCAAGAGCCTTCATGTTAATAACGTGTTAAATAATAAATATATAATATATTGGTAAGTATTAATATGTATAGATATAGGGATGTGAGTATAATATATTATATTATATGTTAGTGGATATATATAATTTATATATGTATATATGTGAATGTATGAATTAAATGATAGATGTATTGTGAGACTGTGAGATTGGATAGTGGGAAGATGTGATCATGAATGAATTTATATATTTATTTCGTACATATTTATAGGCATCAAAAAATTCAAGTAGTGGCATCTAAGAAGCCACGTAGTATCCATCGAACACATACACCGTACTTGCGTATATATTACATGGTGTATAACACTATTACTATTGTTATTACTATGATTATTAGTATACAATTTTATAGATACAAAGAGGGGATTGAAATAGAGAGCAGAGGCACAGCGACTGACGTGAACTGTGTTTTGGAAATTTTTTTGATTTTTTGCAAAAGGATAGATACTATGCAAGTTTGATCCCTAGAGGATATCACACACTTGAAACCTATAAAGCATACCGTTGATGGATTAGATGTTCCAAATAAAATAAAATAAAATAAAATAAAAAATAAATTAGCAATAAACTCAATATTTTCCAATTAAAATAAAGATACTAAGCTTATTCCTCGTAAACGGCGCAAAAATTTGATCAAAGAGTTTTGAGAGATTTAAAAATATCTTTAAGATACAAAAAAAATGATATATGTAAAAAATGAAAATAGTGTCGTGCATGTTCGTGTAGTAACTCTAAAAACTTCATCAAAAATAAAAATCTCGTTAACCGGTGAGTGTCCGGGTCAAAAGGACTGAAAAGATAAATTCGCATAAAAAGTGCAATGAGTTAATGCAATTGAAAGGGCTTAATAGATAAATTCGCAGAAATTAAATCTAATTAAAAAGCAATAAAATGTACGTATCTCGAAGATGATGGAATGAGGCATTTGTGTGTGACTTTTGCATTCCTCAATGGCTAGAATTCCATGGATGAAATGAGCGAGATGATGATGGTGTGCTAGCTGATAATATATATAA